CTAAATGTATATTGCCCATACTGAGGAGAGCTGTGCCTGAATCCACCGTCATCGCTGAGCTAAGGCAGTGAATTCCACTTCAGTGGTGAGTTGTTTATGTAGCCTGTTTGGCTAGCGCTGAAGTCGTTAGTATTTATGCTAATTATCGCTAATGGGTATGGCCATGTTAAAGTGCTAACTGTTCAAAGCTAATGTGAGATCGTGGTATTTAAATGCTAATATGGTCATCAGCCTCAATAAAGCTAGCATGATACAGTCTATTGCCTGTGGAAAAGATAATGATTTTGTCTTTTGGTTTTAAAAGGGAAATGTTACGTTTCCATACTGTTACTGACTATGGTGTTTTGTTAACTGAATGATGACATATCTGTTCAATTTAATTGTGTTTTATGTGTTTATAGTGATTAAAGGGGCCTATTTTCAGTGCATTCTCTCCACTGTTACCAGCGCAGGGAGGGATATTTAAGCACGTAAATGTCCTAATGCCTCAGAGTTACATTACTTGCTTATCGTGTGGTATGACAAACACTGGCACGTAGTCATAAGGGACAAAAAGGGTTTTCTTTTCGTTCGCACTTTATCATTTTAGTTTGTTATTTTTCACATCTGTCATACCTGTTTATCTATGTATGTATGAACCATATTTTGTGTATTTAATATACAGGTTCAAACTTTCATTCTGGTGTGGAAATTCTCTTTATTGATATTCAAATTCTCTGGCTCTTAACAATCTAGTTTCTTTTGATATTGGTCTACATTCACATTGATGACAACATATAAGATCAAATTCAAATACTGTTTAGACCATTACTGAACTGTAAGAAGGGCTACAGAAGTAAATAGATACAAATCAAATATAGCTGCAAGCGACAATTGTAGGGGTCGAATCATTGAAAGCATCTGGCCCCATACGGTTTGTGTCTCTCTGGCCCCATACATTAAAATAAAGTTGGAATTTTTGAGTTGTTGTGTTAATTGTTTTTGAAATCCCATGACTTTCTGTTTATAAATGTGTTTTACTTGATGTTTTATAAACCACTTAATATTTCATTCATTATAAATATTACAAGCATTTGTTGCGATTTTAAAATAGTCATTCACATTTTGTTTATGAATGGTTTATAAACCATGTAAAAAGCAATTGTTAACGTTTTATAAACATCAATTCCAACTTTATAATAACCATCCAAATAATGTGAATAGATGCTCTACACATTATTTATTAACCATTTACAAAGTATTATAAACATCAGTTCCAACTTTACAATAACCATCCAGATAATAATTGTAGATGGTTTATAAACCAATTATTAATCATTGATAAAATATTAATTATCTATCTAAAACATATTATATAGATAGATTATAGATTATAATCTTCAGTTCCAACTTTATAATAACCATCCAAATAATGCTAATAGACACTTTATAAGATATTTACAAACCATGAACAAATATCTGGTCCATGTGTCTCTGTAATGTTTATAGATGTTTTATAAAACATCTCTTAAAGGTTTATAAATCATTTGGTCATCATTAACAAACACTTTCTAAAGTGTATGAAATGTTATAATGTGTGCATCAGTAAACAGTTAACATAACAAATTATAGCATTACAAATCATTAGCTAACATTATTAACTATCATTTAATTGTTTGTTAACAGTAAATAACTATTAACTAATGGTTAATTATCTATTTACCCTTTATAGATGATGGTTATTATAAAGTGTTACCAAAATAACTTATAACTAAAAAAATAAATGTCTCAGACTATTTATGACGTGATGTATCGGTTTATGAACTGGATCATATGTAAACTGTTTGGAAGTGGTGAACTAAGATGTAGCCAATTTATTTACTTAGTTTTGTTTGTGATAAGACGCCCTATGGGGCTAACAACAAACCACACTCTGACCCAATAAAAGACTTTAAGCACCTTAACAAAGTCAAACCAATGGATTTATTAACAGACAAACTAAACGATAAAACAAAGATCAACTCAAAGCTAGTGTAATGTAAACACAACCACGCAGAGAGGCACAGCAGTCCTAACTCCAAATGCCTCTCTCTACTGAAGCCATCCACAGGAAGTGGAGAAGGAACAAAACAGCATAGGGAACATACACCCGTCACATTTGTATCAGTGTATTGCGCGTTGTGATGAAGGGGCTGTGTTGGTATTGGTTGTATCCATGTACTGTAAATGGTAATGGACGAAGCCTGAGTGACGTCAACCATCTGTTACGGCAGGGAGGAGGCGGTTGCCATGATGGAAATCCTGTCTCAGCCTCAAGGGGACACTCGATGAACTGCCGAATTTTGCATTTCTGCATTCTCTTCATTATTCAAGACCAGAGGTTGCCGTGTGTCGTTATTTGGGGAAATGTCTCATGTTAATGGTACTGATGTGATGTTGGCTAAATGACATCCTGGAACAGTTGAGTGATTTTTCAGCTAACATGTGTGAGTAATTCCATGTGAGATGGTTTGTGTTAATGACCAGATATGAAAATGAAATACATTCGTTCATTCATTAATTCAGTCGGAGGAGAAAGGGTGGGGGTGGGGGGGTGGGGACTTTTCAGGAGAGCTCCCAAGTTAACTGGTGATGCTACAAGTGGGACCAGAGGCCTGTTTCAGTAAGCAGGCTTTTTGAAAACACTGAGTCAGTTTAACCCTGAAATGATGGAAACTCTGGGTTTTCCGTTTCAGACAGAGATGTCACTCAAACTTGAGAAAGAGGGGTAACTCCAGCCCGTTCAAGAGTGAGAGGTTACTATAGCTCTGAGTCAGTTACCTGGTGCTGCAGGACGGGAGAACACGTATGTGGTGCGCCGAGTCGTAGAGGTAGTGCTCAAACAAAGTGGCTCGACTAAATATCACATCCTGGTTTATTTTAACAGTCAAACATATTGATCAATGTGAATCTCTGCGTTGATGTAAGTCTGTTTCTTCAGTGGGCTGTTAATCAATTTGTTTGGCACCATACCCAGTGGTAGGGGATTCAGGCATTTAAAGAATATCTGTTTAGAAACAGCCAACAGTTCTTGTTTTGCTTCAGTGGCTTCATAAACAGGCATCAATATTTATTACAGTCTGTTTGACAACAAGCTGTAAGCTCCTTTAATCAGCTTTAAAGTTCACATATTATCCTCCTCTTCAACAAGTCTCAACAATAAGTCTCAGAGCTCCCCAAAACATGTCTGTGAAGTTTCTTGTTCTAAATTCACTCTGATCCTGTATTTGATCATGTCTATAAACCCCTCTATTTCAGCCCTGTTTTAGAACAGGCTGTTTCTGTGTCTGTAGCTTTAAATATGTAAATGAGCTGTGTCTGACCACACCCCCTCTCTGGAAGGGCTTGGGTGGCGCTTTCTCGCACGATGCCCATTTGTTTACGGTGAGAAGGCAGACTCAGAGGGCAGAACAAACACCTAGCTGTGGGAGTGTCACCCACCTGGGGGAGGGGTTACTGCCCTTTGTGATGTCACAAAATGAAAATCGTCTAAAAGCCTGTTTGAGGACACATTTTCTGAAAAGTGGAGCAGGTAAAAGACGGAGAGGACTTTTCACATAGTAGTTTGTCGACGGGCTAGAGACACATATTAGTTTTCCAAAAACATGGTACATTGTATTTTGCACAATATGTGACTCTAATGTTGTGATATATTTTGAGAGGCATACTTTTATTGTATCACAGTCAGTCCTTTGACTCTTTCTGTAAATTGGTCATATTTTCCATCTGGAATTGTAATCTCTTTGTGCTTTAAGTTCCTGCATCTTTCAGAAGGCCTTATTGTAAACGGCCTTACTCAAATACTGTCAACGTAGGGATGTTATAAAACAGAATGAATAAAGGTTTTAAAAAAAGCAAATCTGGGGTTCAGTTGTTTCCAAAGCAATTTGAATCTAATATTGTGCCTCCCCTCAGACCAATAAAAGCTCTCATAAGCCATCTGACAGAGAACAGGATGACGCTCATCACACACAGACCCACACACCTGTTCGGTCATGCATACATCACCAATATGGCTCTGTTTAACAGCCCATCATTCTTGGTCGGTCACAGGAGGTCAATAACTATTATTAACATTTTTAGTCCTGCGTATGAAATGCTCCTGTCTGCTCAAATATACCACTGCCTTTCTTTACTGCCACTGTCCTGCTGTAAAACTTTTATTTTCAATCAAAGCCACCATCAGCTATCTAGTGTTTTTTACTACTTAGTTTATATGATCAGATAATGATCTTAGTATGAATGGAGAGCATGGCAGTTTATCAACACCGCACTGACTGGTTCCAAATTCAAATCTGTTAATCTCTCTGGATACTCGAATGAGATCTTTTTCAGTTTCTACCCTCCAAAAAAGACAACAACAAAAACAACTAATCAAAAGATTTTAAAATAATGAAGACTAAGAAAATTAGTTCCAAGAGCATTGACATTTAAAAAGGAGTATTTTTCAATGCACAGCTAACAATGAGGTGTCCTGTTCCTTTAAAAGCAATTTGAATGAAAAGATTTCAGCAGCAAACTGCTCAATAGTTATAGTTAGTTATAACGATATCTTTATCTCGTAATAACAAGAAACCAGGCAAAAAAGAAATTCCCCACATGAATTAAATACGCTTCTGTACCTGCACTTGCTGTGACAGTTACAATCTTATCTTCTCCATTGTTCCAATGTATGAGTTTGTGAAATGGCACTGTCCATAATGTGCAGAAGTGAACCTCTCAGATGTTAGCAATAATTGCTACACCTGCTGATCAGAACACGAGTGCCACTGGTCATTGTGGTTTCCTTTAATGGATCATGATAAGTTGCTAATCATAGCGGGTGTATGGAACGTTCTCTAAGTGTTTTCAATTTGTATAACCTCAAAGGGAATGACGCCATCTATGTGCTCACAATAAGGGGGGAAATAGCCTGGCGCCTATACCTGCAGGTGGATGATGTGACAGCCCTTTAATTGAGAAGAAAGTGAACTTGAACTCACTGCAGATGAAGAAGTAGGAGGCTGTGCCAGCGAGGAGCATGGGGCTCCGTGCCAGGGAGCTGACTAGGCCACAGATGCCTCCAAACAGCAGCAGGACCAGGCTGAGGGGGAGGAGCACCACTATGGCTCTGTGCATGTCTGCTAACACACAGACACAGGAAAACAGAGGGAGCATCTGTGGAGTTATGGCTGACAATAAAACTTGATTAGCAGTGTGTGTGTGTGTGTGTGTGGGGTGATGAACACTTACACAGCATGTGCAGCTCAGTCTCAGAGTACCTGGAGTTGTCAGCTGTGAAGGAGTCAATAGAGTCTGCCTGCGTCATCCCACCTGTATGTTAAAATAAAACGTGGACAGAAACACTCTTAATATTACACGGACTTTTTTCCCTGCATCACTGAACAGCTGGATTTGCGGTTTAAATCTATAAAAAATAGTAGGAGAAAGGGATGGAAATGTAGTTTACCTTCATTGATGCTCCACAGACCCGAATGTGAGCTCATGTCCTCTAAGTCGCTCGTGTTCACATGATTCATCTCTATAATGTACCAATACTCGGTTCCGAGGGAAGTCGCCAACAAGACGAAACTAAGCAAGCCGCAGATTCCGGCTGAGACCACCAGACATCCAAAGGTTACCTTCATCCTGCATAGGTGTGTGGGTTTAATCCACGCGTAACGGTGACGGATTTAACTCGTGCGTAACGCGGAGGTCTCTAGTGTTGATCCAGTATTTTTACACGATTACGCTCGATAGAAGATGCAGAAAAAACATCTCCACATTTACAATAACGCTGCAGTACTCCAAACGCTTTGCATCAGGAGCAGTGACTCAAACGTGGAGACGAGAGATGGAGTTATCCTTCAGTGAAAGCTGCGCCTGATGTGAAGCGCCAATGCTTCACTCTGGGAGGGACTTGGATTTACGCGGGAGACGCACGCGTTTACGCACGACAGAGGGAAGACAGAGATGTAAGCTGCGTTTGAGCTACATAGAACAGGAATGATAATTATATAAACATTACACACATTGTCCATTGGGTTGATTTATAAGCAGCAAAGTAATAAACATTTGGCTCATATTTCAAAGTCAATGATCTCACGTTCTTTACGAGGATTTGGCATAGATCGGGGTCATATTTGCACCTGTATCTTTTACCTTTTCGTTTTATTTATAGTATATATATAATATACAGAAAATGTACTGGGTAACTGTCAGTGTGACTGGAAGGTTATCAGAACTCCATGCACCCTCCTCCCTGTTATTCTTCTTCTGTGGTTAATCCTTTTTTGTCATCTTCTCAGCTGTTTTACAGTATATGTTTGTGTCAATCTTTTTTTGCTATCTGTTAATGTATTCATTGGATTCTAAAGTTCTTTAAATAGTCATTGGAGCTAGCTTTACTAACCAGTGGTCAAATACATCACAATACAACATAGAGCAGAAAGACACAAACACAATACTACCATAATGACACTCAAATATTAAAGGAGGTAAGCAAACAGATCAAGTTTAATGAATAAGAAGACATCACATAGAAACAGGAAATATAGAAGATGACAGCATCACAAAGAAGACACATGAAGGACACAAAAAATGTTCAGTCGCTTTCCAGCAACAATCGATCTCTCCCCACAGCCCCCCCTCTCATTCATCAGTGTTTGCTCCCGTCACTCTTCCCCCATGGCCGTCTTGATGATATCCGCCCTTCTCAGCTTGGTGGCCTCCTCAAACTTGGTAAGAGACTCGTTACAGGATTTGTTCTGCGAGTGGAGGAAATTAAATCTTGATGAGAAATAAGGCTCAAGAGTTTTTGTAGACGTTTGTCTTGGGTGTGTAATTAATTTTCTTTTAGAGGCATGCCAGAGAAGAAAAGCTCACAGAAGTCAGTCGACAGTTACTTTGTTATACTCTAATTGTACAAATCAGCTGATAAAATTATAAATCTCGCAAGTCAGTAATTAATCACATTTAATGAAGGAGTTTATGAACGTACAATCATGTACTTGTGCCTCTCCTTCTGTAGTTTGAAGAATTCCTCCACACTCAGTTCCTCTACTTTCTTCTTCAGACTGATGAAGTGGCACGACGATGAATGAGATTTGTGCTCCTTTCTGGTGTCAGAACAAAGACAGTGATTAGGGGAACATGAATATTTTACTTCACAGACTGTGTGAGAATGCACAAACACAGACTGTGAAATAAGTTTACCATTTGTGTATCATTCATTGGAGCACTGTGGCCATTAGGTCATTTCATAGTATATTACATTGTATGATCAAAAATATAGCAAGTCTGTTATATTTTCAACAAGGTTAGAACGCAGTAATTCAAGCAGTGTCATTTCAGTGACGACACATGTAAATCAAATCTTTACAGTATTAAAAGGGTAGAAAATCATCAAATATTAAACAGAGGTAAAAAGTGAATTCTTGTACAAACAAAATAAAAGACATACAATCAGAAAAGTGCTTTACTAAATGAATGTTGGAGGTCAAGAGCTCCTGGTCATTAAGTACAAAACAGTGCTGTAACAAAGATCTGCCCTCAATACTCCTTTAAACTTTTAAATCAAATCTGCAACAAGTGGAAACCCCCGGTGTTGAAAAATAAAGCCAATACAGAAGTGCAACATCCTGCAGTTCGTCGAGTGTCCACTTGAGGCTGGCTGCAGAAGCACCAGAAGATACACACACACACCCAGTTTAAAAAAATGTTTCACTAGAGCCAGAGCGATTAATCAGCCAGCCAATAATATCGGCCGATGTTTGCATATTAGGTGACTGTTGGTATTGGATAATTTTATCCAAATGTTTGCCAATCTAACTAGATTTATTCACCGGTCAAAAAATCCTTTCATTTGAGTGTTGTTGTATTACACTAGCAGTTTTCTTTCACCAGCGGAGTGTACTATATGGATTATAACAAGCAAGGGGTCAACGCAGTAAATGTGTTTATCTATCTATCTATCTCTACAGACATTAAGAAACTAATTGGCTGATCAGTATCAGATTATTATCGGCCCCAAGGGCTGTCTGTTAGGTTTGGCAGCCAAAATTAACATGTTTACTGCCTGGTTCAAGAAATGAAATAGGTCTTCTGATTAGGGGTGGCTGTGTCTCAGCTAGTAGAGTCGACGAGGAAGGTCAAGGGTTCGATCCCCAACTCCTGCAACAACATGGTCTCACTACATAGCAACCTCTACCATCAGTGTGTGAATGTGTAGACATGACATGCGGTGTAAAAGCTGCTTTGAGTAGTCTGAAGACTAGACACACATTTGTTTTGATTTGATGAAGTCTAAGCGTTGCCCACAATAAGGTGTGTACCTCACCTGATTGACAGGTGGGCGCAATGTAACGGTTTGTAAAGAGGCTTAAAACCTGCCTCATTTCCTGCTCTTAGCCTGTTGCCAGGTTGACTGAAAGTTAAGCTGAGACTGCATTTCCAGCATGGAGACAGTCATCGTTAGGACTCCAAAGCCCCCCTGCAGTAACAGATGGGCGACGTCACATCGGTGTCCCGGTGAGTGATTTTACAAGCACCAGAGGAACAATGTGTGAACACGCAGCAGATGATTCATGACTCTTGGCAAGTATGTTGTGAGCCTTTTGTCCAATTACTTTGCTGCATAATATTACATCTGTTTCCTTTCCAAACAATTTCTCAAGGGAATTTAACCAATAGGAAAAATGAAGATGTGAAATCTACTCTGCTTGTATTTGCATTTCTGTCCCACAGGTTGAGTGATGTGGTTCTCTTACTCTGGTTCATCCTCTGGCTCCCAGCCCTCCAGCTCTTTGAGGCAGAAGAAACACATGGCGATGTCTGGGCTGTTCTCTGAAGGAGTGTGGATGAAGCCAGCTTTGGCCATCTGGAGAAACAGATAGATGACAGTAAAAACATACACATTAAAAGTACTCTCTTTCCTTAAATACATTTTGCTACCTGTATTTATGATCAAAATTATAACTTTGAATTACAGTAACCAAAACTTAATTAACAGCTTTATTATTCCATAAATACTTATTAAATACTTTAGATTAGTATTTAGATTAAATACTTTAACACTTCAATGCAAAAAGTCCAAACCTTGATATAGATCAGTTTCAACAGGACAAGATAAGTTTATGGTAAATTCAGGAATAATGATTATCAATTATTGTTATATCAGGTCAATAATATAATCATTTTCAGGAAGAAACCTTTTAATCACCCCATCTGACATTTCTGGACCATGTTCTTTACAGTGAGAGTTATAAGATGTTCAGAACTAAATATGTCAGATGGTGGTGTTCGACTTTTATGAAGAGATTGTCTTGAGTTCTGAAATGTAGGTCTCTTTCTGTAAGGGACTTTTAACACAAAACGACCTACCAGAATATGTCACATTGGGCCTTATGACCCTTTATTAACGTTTATTTTAACATTATACACTAATTGTGGATAAAATACTTCAAAACATAGGACAATTGTAGATAAAGAAATTTAGTAAACCAGTTGCCAGTGCAATTATATAATAATATTTAGTTTATATATTTGATCTAAACTAGCAATACCTGGGTTACATTTATGTTCCTGAGTTTCCAGGTATTAAGATAACCTTTAACGTAATTCTCTCACAACCATCCATAACATTAGCTAAACCAGTGGTGTCCAAACTATTTTTCTTGCGGGCCAAAATTGTCGTGTTAGAATCGCTCGCGGGCCACAGGTTTTGTTTTTTTTTAAATATAGTTTTAAAAATAGTAAGGCTTTGTAGATCAGAATCAAAAGGCTCGCTAAAGAAACCCTTTAATAAAAGGAAATCAAATACTTTGATTTCTTCATTCTACTTTATTTGTTTTTTTCTCAGAATCAAGCCTGTAACATGGTTCATGTTTTTGGAAAAGCTTTCTGCATTTAGCTCAGGTCATTAAATGGTTAAACAACAGTCCGCTTGTTTTTTTTTTAAGTTTACAAAAAAAATGTGAACATAGTAAAACCTGTAGATTTAAAAAAACAACAAGAACATACATGTTACTGAACATTTTCTATTTTAGGACTATTGTTCAGCCCTTGTTAACATGAAAAAGAAAAAAAATAATGTGCCGATCTTAATTAAGGCCTCGGGCCAAAATCTTCTGATTCTTCATTTTAAGTCACGGGCCGCAAAAAATCCCCTCAAGGGCCGAAAATGGCCCTCGGGCCGCACTTTGGACACTCCTGAGCTAAACCATGACATTAAAAACATAATTATAATTATATATAAAACAAATGATTACCTATGAAATGTTACTTTCACATTTAATGATTCAATGTAGAAGCTTTCAAAGCGACACTGACTTTACTTATTATGAAATAACAAACAGCTGACTGATTTGACTGTCGGTGTTTTTTCAGCTCGTGAACGCTAACAGGTGAGACCTCGCTAACCGTTTGAAACGTTCACTCACGTTCTCCGGTGTGCAGCTACAGTCTTCGTCGAAAGGCCATCCCGCGAACGTTTTCAGTCTGTTCTCGTAGAAATACATTTTAAAATCCTCCTCGTTTAATTGTTCCATCGTGTTAAGTGTTAAAGTGTGTTGAATGTGAAGAGATCTACTGAACTAACAAGCTGGCTGTTTTCAAATGTTGGACTGTGTTCGCTTGGACTAATTTGATTGGCCATCAAAGATCACGTGCCTCATGTATTTCTTCTTCTACGAAGATTGATAGCTCGAAGACAGAACGCTAGCGCCAACCATTGTCCTACTGGTCAGAAAAGAACTGATGTTAAAACCTGTAAAAAGAAAACACTTTAAAAAAAACATTATTTCTTTATTTCGAACGATTAAAAATAGATGAAAATGAATAAACAAATGGACAAAAAAAATCTGTATAAAAATAGATAAAATAAAAAGCCAATTTCAATATAATACACATTTGACTCGTTCGAAAAGGGATAGGAAGAAGCCTAGGCTTGTCAAGTCCTAACCCCATTCTTCACCATTAACAAATGCAAAATCCAATAAAATAAACTAAACGGACAATACAAAAAAATACTCCAATCGAGCTATTAAGAAAAACAGAACAAAACCAAAACAAAAAAGAACAAAATGAACAGGCGCCATCAACATCTGTGACATTTACATTCTCCTTCCTCATTTCTGTAAGATATATCTTTTGTACATTATATTCATACTTTGTTTAATCGTTTCGTCAAGACCATTCCACAAAACCACCCCACAAATGGAAATACACATACTTTTTAAATTGGTCCGAGCATAATGCTGTTTCAAGTTTAGTTTCCCTCTAAAGTTATAACCTCTGTGTCTTTGAACAGTTTTTGTATGTTTACAGGTAGTACGTTAAAACCAAATATGAGAAAACTTTATTTTTAGATAAATGTTTATGCAGGAAGGTAGAAGATATGACTGTCTTCTAATGTCTTTGATGTCTTTTTGGGGGGTGGTAATAGATATTCTGGACCACCCTCCTGCATAGTAGGTGGCGGCAGTGCGCATTAAAAGCTAGTTGCCATCCGCCAATTAAAAAAAGAAGAAGAAGAAGTATAGGCGGTCATTGGTCCAAAATGCGACGCGCGGAACTTGGTGAGGGCGTACCTACTCCTCTGTCAACAACCGGTACATGAATACTTTTGCCAGCCAGTACTTGCCTCAAACTTGAACTTTTGTCACACTCTTCTGAGCTCAGAGTGTAAACTCTATGGACGGGCGCTGTGCTGTCGAGACTTGGGCAGAGTTTGACTGTTCAGGGACTTCATGCACACCGAAGCTGAAGTTTGTTTCAGGGAAAGATGTGTTCCTGTGGACTGGCGGTGATGAAGTCTATATCTTTAGTACTCAGAGGAGCAAACTTACGGTCAGTAACTCTTACAAGTTCAAGCTGTATTTAGTTTTCTATCCATTTTTTCATTGTTAAATGTGTTTACTTTGTATTTGTTTTGCAGGCTATCCTACAGTTCCCTGGTCCTGTGAGTGACCTGGTTGGGAGTCCTGACACTCAGCTTCTCTATGTAGCCTCTCACAGTGGAGTTTATTGTGTATGTTTACAATCTCTACTATCCAGGTATGAACCTTTCCTTTAAACTTTTCACAATAGTCGGTTTATTTAGGTCACAAAAAAAAATATGTGACCATTTCTTGAGTTCTTTTTTGAATCCTGTCGTTGCCCCTGACTGTGTGGCTTTTCACCTCTGCAGCGCTGATTCAGCCTCCCGCCCAGCTGAGAGTCAAATCTCCTCTGAGTTTCTCGTTGTTCCTGAAGGAGGAGTCTTATCACTGCTTCTCGTAGGCACCGTCCTCGTTACTGTTACTAAGAAAGACAAGTCCTGGGTGTTCACTCTGTATAATTCTACAAAACAATCAGGATTCAGAAGCTGTGAGATGCTCAGTTCATTCAGTCTACCAACAGTCTCTGATGTTTTACACAATGACTCTGAGAGAAGAAAGAGGCCTGTACTGATGTGTGTTCATTCCAGTGATGCGACACAACTCTATTCCTCCTCCACTTCTTCACCAGAGACTCATTTACCTGACAGCCACTTCTTCCTCGACCCCGTCCTCTTCAAACTTCTTTTTGGGATCGATGCTGCTCTCACCAAGTCACCGGTTATTCTCTGTGGCCTACCGGATGGGGTCCTGTGTTTCCTCCCGCTGCGTCCCCCAGGATCACGGCTCCGAGTCCTGCACAGCCTCGAGCAACCGGTCGTGTTTATTGGAGGATTTTCTGCAGCGGGGAGTTCGGGACGTGCACAGTGTTTGGTGGCAGTGGGTGAACAAGGGAGAGTGGTGCTGATGGAAGTGAACAAAGGGGGACCAGAAGGAGGGGGGAACACGGCTGGTTTCACAGAGGGGTGTGTGTGTGGGCCTGTGATGTGTGGCTGTGTGGATAAAGACTCTCTTTACTATAGCACTGGGTCAGACCTGCTGGTTCTGGATCTGTCAAGGGGATCATGTGGGGGAGAAAGCACCGACGGGTGTGAGGAGACATCCAGTAAAGCAGTGGCCGCCCTCCAGAGCCCCACCAGTTTAAATGTGTGTAGAGTCGTCTCATTGGCTGAGCCTGAACGCAACACTGCAGGTAAGCAGAATCAGGCCAAACATGTATATTAAATTCACAAATTAATTCATTTTAGCTTCACTTATATCTCAAGGAATACTCCTTAAGGATCATTTCAATAATGTCACTAGTACTGTAAGCTTTGTTTTGGTTTTATGGAATGAACTTCCAAACTCCATTTGATCTGCAGAGTCCCTCTGCACCTTTAAGAAAAAGCTAAAGACCCAGCTCTTTCATGAATACCTACTAACTTAATGATGGTGGTCTCCATATTATTGATGATGATGATGGTAATGACGATGGTTTTTGTTTGATAAAAGACGACTTATAAGATGATTTCTATCCTGATTAGAGCTCTCAAGAACTGCCATCAATGTTGTGCTTTGCCTCTGGTCACTTCCTGTCAGCACCTGTGTGTCCAATCAGACTCAAAGCTGATCGTTTGCTCTTACTGACATTGTTCCCTTTTTTCTAGATCCTTGCTTGTGTTGTTCTTACTCTCTGATGTACGTCGCTTTGGATAAAAGCGTCTGCTCAGTGAATTGTAGAATTGTAGAATTTTATCATCTTGGCCTGAGTGATTGAGTCGCCTCAACCGAGAGCATTTTATTAGCTTGTATGACTTTAAAACCAGGGTAAAAGATACTTTGTCTTACTGCTGATCACTGCTAATAAATCGTCTGATGTTAAAGGACTCCCCCGTAAGAACATTTCTGTATCTTATTGGGAATATTAATGAAAGTTAAATCAAATTAAGTAACAATGAAAGAAAGAGAAAACTCTGATACAAAGACATAATAATAAAAAGTAACAAAAAGAGAGGAGCAAGATTAAAACAGATAATCTAAGAGCTGAATTATTTGTTACCATTATGGTTATAAATTGACTCGTCGGGACAATCATGTTGATTTTTTTGTGGTTTAGTGTTTCAAGTGTGCAAAAACCAAAAGAAGTTTTTCGATGTTTGGTGAGTGTACCCAGAATTGGAGCGCTCACCAATCAGTGGTAAGAGTATGTTAAATAAAGAAGTGATATGTTAAGTAATCAGGAAGAGATTAAACACTGACACAGACCAGTTATAGAGGGTTAGCAGCTCTTTATAATAGTGTAAGAAAATAGACATGGTATGGATCAGTTAGGTGTAATAACGTTGAGTTAAACGGTATATTTTTTTGGGAAACTTTACAGTATTCAGTGAGCGTCTCTTAGCTAACCTGTCTCGTGTTTACCAGGTGAAGTTCAGCTGCATGCTCTGTCTGTCAGAGGTCAGCTCCAGAGGATCACTTTACCTGTGAGGGGAAAGGAGGCAACATCCTCCAATGTGCCCTCCTCCACACAGGCGAGCCGTAGCATCAAGGACCTCCTCTCTGCTATCGGGGATGTTTGTGAAAGGTGCGTATCTAATTCCTCTCTGATTGTTATCATATCACAAATCTGTATATCTGATTAAATGAGAGACACAAAAAGCCCCTACAAAGGTGAAGTGCAGGATAATGTATATTCGGGCGTCAGTTCCACCTCTTATGACGCGTGTGAATGCATTGACTGTACACATAAATATTTTTGATATTCATCACAATTCAAGCTGTAATTGTGCTTGTTCATATCTTTTTTTTTTTTATCTTCATCAACATCTTTAGAAATGAATACACAGACATACATACACATCAAAACAAGATAGAGAAAAAATAAATATAAAATAAAATAGAAGACAAACAGACAAAAACAAACCAAAAAAAGATAAGGGGAGGGATATAGCCTCTATGTTCAATGCAAATTGAGGTTTCACATTTCCACATTGGATTAATTTAAATATTTCATGGGTATTGTCACACATAAATGCACATACATTTCATTTTCAAACCTGCATATAATTACACATTTATATTAATATTGACTTGTATGCTCCTTGTTCATATCAAAGTGAGAATTAAAACATTATTTATTTTTCAGCTGATATTTATCTGTGCTTATTTAAACTTTCCTCTTTTTTCTCCTTCAGAGCATCAGCGCTGAAAACTGCCATCAAATCCAAAAACCATCTCCTTATTCACCTGAATCAGGTCCTTAACATCAGCTTCCTGCTGTCAGACAGCGAAAATAGTGTTGAGCATCATCCCGACCAGGAGAAAGCGATCAGATGTCACGCGGTCACCAGTTGGAGCAGACTGCTTCAAAAAGACTCCCTCAACCTGACGTGTGTCCTGGAGAACTCCAGCCCTTATGTTTTGGAGCAGGGCTGGACACTGAGTATCACCGTGTCCCCTCTCTCTTATTCTCCCCGTGAAGGAGGTGACAGCTCCTCTGCAAACTTCTCGTTCCCTCTGCAGAATCTCCATCCGGGGGAAACATTAAAAGTATCGCTGCCTCTCGCGGCAGCAGGAGACGCAGACTTCCCGGTGACGGTGAGCTGCTCACTCGTCCTCTTGCTGTCGGGTCTGCTGGGAGACGAGGCCGCAAAGTTTCCTGGGCTGAGCAGCTGCATCAGCTTTCCCCTGAACTCGCTGACAGTGGACTGGCTGCACGCCCTGCAGGTGGACAGTCCCATAACCAGCCATGCAAAAGCCACATGTCAGCTGAACACCACTTCTGATACCATCAGAGCTTTTATAAACTCACACAGGAACAGGAGCAGCACATCTTCAAAGACTGAACCAGAGAAGTATTCTGCATTTGTCAGGGTGTCTTCAGAGTTACTGAGGGAAACGCTGATGATAAGAAACTCAGATCAAAACGTGAGCCTCTCTCTACTAAACTGGCTGCTGTCTGAACATCATGAAGGAGTGAAGACGGGACAACAAGGAGACAAAGCTACAGTCAGCGGCTCAGTGATCCACGCTCGAGCTCCAAACAATCACTCTGTCAAACTGACTGCAAAGGAGGTAAAGAATGATCCATTATATCGTCTACATTTACATGGTTGCATTAGCTGCAGTGTCTCTTAAAATGAAGTAAAGTCATTTGAAACAGAAAATACAGTTTAAGAGTAATGTACTGCTGACAGCTTTTCAGGCAGGTTTTCAGTAGCTCGCCTACAGGTTGACTGCCTGTGTTAAAAAAACAGTAGATGCACCTCTTCCCTCTATTCATATATTTGGCGCATAAAAACAAGTGTAAATATTTACTTGGACATTGATGTGAACTTTCACCAACATAGCTTACTATTACTAAAAACCCACCTTTTTAACAAAGCCTTCTGCTTGTGCTTTTAGTTTCGTTAGTTGCTTAGCTGATGAATTTTTTTTTTTTTTTTTTTTTCTGCAGCACTTTGAGATTTTTTTTGCAAAAATGTAAAGTGCGTTACAAATTAAATTTGTTATTATTATTATTATTACTATGTGGCACAATAAGAAGTGTAAACTATTCATGTTTGTTTCTTGGACCTTGATTTGAATTTAAGATTATTGATGAGCATTGGCTTATTGCAATTTCACTAACAGTAGCTTAATTCTGCTGAGGTGTGCTGTGTAAATAAATGCAAGCGACTTGATGCAAGTAGCTCTTGGCCACTTTCATTTTTTCAAAGTAGCTCTCAGATGAAAAAGGTTGGAGACCCCTGTGCTAGGCAATGTGTGACTACGTAGATATTAAATCCATCAGTCTAATGTTTATCGACAAAGTATTTATTTTGTTTTCTGGCAAAATATCTTACAATTCACTAAACACATGACAGCCATCTGTTTATGTTCATGTTTAATACCAAAATAAATAGTAAGCAGTGACTTAAGATATTTTGTTAAATCTCCTTTAAGGAACTTTCAGTTTTGTGGATGATGGCGCCCCCTGTGGACAAAGCTGTATCAGTCAGTCAGTCATTAAGAAACTTTGTTCTGTAAAATGTTTTTAAAAAGGCTGTTTTCTTCAGCATGTTGTTAATTCTCAAACTCAGCTGCCCAAGCCCTTCCAAAGAGCCACACTCTTCCAAACATTGACTGAAGTGTTTTTGTTGCCTCAACATAACGAAATACAAAAACCTGGGACTCTAGTGTGTTGTCCCTCCATCCAAACCAATCGAAACACAGTGTATTAATAAACACATGTTATTGCTCTGAGACTGGGTCGACCTCCTACTTACAGAATAAAAGACACACGGTTTCTCTCTCCAGGTAATTGTTGGGGATGAGAGCATGAGGAAGGAGGAGTCCCTGACCACAGTGGAGGTTCAGATTGAGAGCTCCTCTCTGGCAGCAGTGTGTGGGCTGCACCATGCTGTGCTGCACCGACTACAGGTAAACAAAGAGGGAAATGGCTGCAATTTCAGTCTTTTCATTTCATTTCATATTTGATTTATTTGCTCATTTCAGTGTATGGTTTCAACACAATAATACACAACAAGAAATATTTTCTCAGAATACTGAAACACTGTTCATGAGCAAACAGGAGCAGGAAGAAGAAAACTTATAATACCGGCCCCTTTCCTAATAACACAAGATACTGTTTAAGGCTATATTTATGTGAATACTACAGGACAATAGCAGTGATACCATCAAATATTTTATTTGAAGCATTAATAAATTAGATCTTATTAAAGAGACTAAATGGATAAGACTTGGACTGCTTCAAGAAAGGAAACACTATTTTGAACCACTCACACTCACTACAGTCTGTTGTGTTGTCCCTGATTTTAGAAACAACCTTTACACTTTATTTTAAACATGCCTTCAGATTCCCGTCGTCTCTGCTTTCTCACACAGACTCTGCTTCAGAGAGCTCCTGAAAGAGCTGCGTCCACAAGAGCGTCCAGAGTTTGGCTTTAAGACCAGCACTGCAACGGGCCGAGGTAACACCAACATTTACTTCACTATAACCATGAGGTCTGTTAGATATCAACCCTAAACATCTATCAGTCAGTTTTCCCTTTTCTTCATGATAACATGCAGAGATGTTAACATCCAATCTCCTTCCTGGTACCAATCCCAACAGCAGACCAAGTTCCCCTCTGTTATCAGTGCTGCTATATAAGTTACTGTTTCTTTATTTATAAAGCTCCATACTACTGATCCTGTATGGATGTTACATGTTTGCTCTTGTTTGTAGCCCATGTTCAGTACATGTTAGAAAACTTCAACTGAAAAAAAGCCAACATTAGCTTCATGGCTAGAAGCCCCTCCGTACTTCCTGTCAGCAGAAGAGCATGTGAAACATCTAAAATGAACTTTCAGTTTGTGTTGATTTTGGGTGCCCCCTGTGGACAAAGAGGTGAGGTACACATGTTACGGTAGTTCATTTTATTCAACAGAAAAGTCATCAGTATTCAAAGGTTTTATTCTTTGACAGTCTTTGTGTTTATTTCATTTCAGGTATTAAAAAAAATCAGTTGTGAAAATTTTTTTTAAATACAATTTTTGAGATAATTTTTGGGGCTTTTATGCCTTTATTCAGAGGAGAGGACGGTGGATGGAATAGAGTAGAAACTGGGATTAGAGAGTGGGGAATGATATGCTGCAAAGTCCTGAGGGTCATAGTCTAACCGGGACCACCAGGTTTGACGGCTTTAGCCTCTGTACACCGAGCGTGCAGGCTATACAGCTCCAGAAAAAATGGTCTCGTTTGCTTTTGTAGCTCATATTTGTATTTTAAAATAAACACAAGGTCCTTGTGCCCTATACAGCAACATACAACAACATACAGCATCTTCCTGAGGGAAATGAACTTTTATCTTTTGGGCATTTTAGAAACCTGATTTTAAGCCTCCCAACCTCTGTTTGTAACTGTTTTACATAAGTGTGTTCATTCATTGCAGTTTTGTACTCGCTTAATTATCTTAATACATTTTAGACTTTTGTAGACTGAGTTTATCAGTCTTGTATTTATCTGTCCCCTGTTTTTCTTTTTGATTTTATGTCTTGTTTTCTAAATATTTCTATATTGACTCGATGTCATTGTAAATGAGGGTTGCCCCTCAATGATCTTTCGAGTATAAATAAAGGTTGAATGAATGAATATTGAATGAATGAGCGCTCAGTGAAAACACCCATCTTCCCATTTATGCCCCACTTATAAGCTACATAATTTAACTCACAATCCTTTTATACCACTGCAACCAAAACAGCATTGCCACCTACATTGGCACACCACATCTGCATGTTCATAGAGGCATTTGTTATACTGGTGTAGGTGTGAGAATAACTTAAGAAGCATAACTTTGCAATAATAAAAAAAATTCTGTCCTCTTCCTCCTCCTTCTCATGCCAGCGCCTGCTTCAGCAGATCCAGCAAAGCCGGATCTCTGGAGCCTTCAGCGTGGGCGTGTCTGCGGGGCAGATGACCCGATCCCTCCTCAGAGTTTACAGAGAACTCAGAGAAAATCCTCTCCTCATCATTTAAACCTCTTTTTTTTCAGTCCAGTCTACATGGCTGCCCCTGCCTCGCTCTGTGTGTTATGTAACCTGTCTATGAAGGTTGAGACACAGTGTCATTAACAGTGATTGATTTTCTTAATGCACTGCACCGTAGACACTGCTGACACTTATTGCCTGACGGAAAGAAGCCCTGGCTGTACAGCTTTGATGGAAGAACTGAAATTAGCTTCAAGTAGCATGATATATCATTAAATCCAGAGCTAGTTTCTCAGCGTCAACTCTTTGCTCTCATGTGAATTCTTATTTTCCAGAATTATTTTTCCATTGTGCATGCTCTACATCTCTAAAAATATCAATCAGCCACATCATTTTTTTTTCTAGCTTCCCTGAACCTTTCTGTACAAACCAATGCGCTCAGGTGGCTTAAGAATACGAGCAATTACAGCCTGTATGGGAGAGCTCAGGGTTACAGCTGGGTTAAGGTCTTACAGTTCATAGTCTGCTGAAGTGTCTGACGTGTACAGTGACAGGGACCTGATGTTCTGAGCAATAGCTGCTATAAAAGACTCAGGTGAACACATTTCTAAATGGGAGGTAGATAAGAGGGGTTTCATTGTAAATGATAAACACACAAAAGGAAAACATTTGAATGAAATATGGTCATGTTGTCCTTTCTCTACACATGCTGCAGGTTTAACTGTGCTGGCTCTTTTCAGACAGCTTAGTTTATTAAAAAAAAATAAACCTGCAGAAGAACATGGAGGGCTCATGATTAGAACAGTGTTAATGCTGGCACTTCCTGCTATCACCTAATACCCTCCCGGCTCACATCAGGGTGTGAGTTTGAGCAGGTTCTGACGACTCTCAGAAGACATCTCAGCTTCCTGTTAAGATGGTTCATCCTGTTTCCTGGCCTCTTCTCTGTTAGAGAAAAGTTTTAAAGAAGAATAAAAATTAAAGAAAGATGAAACTTGACTCCAACATTTAAAGCAACAGGCTCCAGAAACACGACTTCTGGAGGCTCCACAGAGTCCTGCTGTGGAGACCTGCAGCTTCTCCTACAGAGGGATGAAGAAGGAGGAGGAGACGCTGCAGATTCTGCCTCTTCAAGGACTCAAACAAAGGAAGGAGGCAAAAAGAAGACTTGTTTTTGAAAGTAATCGTTCTTTAACGAGCCAACTCCAAATCTCGACACCCGCTTTCACATTTTCAAATCTGTTTTTATTTTCTAGTTTTTTTTTTACTTGCCAGTGAATATTTATAAATTATAGCGATTTATGGCCCTCCGCTTTGAAAACATGTTGAACTGTTGCCCTACATATTAAAGAAAATAAATGTAACTACACATCCCTCTTTACAGACTGTATATAGTTATAGAGTAATAAGGTACATATTGTTAAAAAAAAAAGAAAATATCGAGGATGTTAAGGAGGAAAAGGGTCTCAAGATTATCTAGATGTTTGCTGCAGACTTTCACTGTGGACCCTTTATAGCTTCTGTAACTGCATGGCTAATTGTCTGTAAATTGTTCTCAACCATCCTCTAAATAAAAAAAATTAGAGTAATTTATAAATTCTTTTTCACTTCTGTTATAATGTGGGCGATTACTCTATCTAATTTGAATACTTCAATACTTTCATGTGACCATATACTCCCTCTGTTACTGAGGTATAATTGTAGTTTGTACATATACTGTAAATGACAGCTTTAGTAAGCTTTAATCTAACCAGCTAAATGTTTATTTCACCAAACTACAGAGTATTGCGTTGGCTATATCATGTAATCCAATGCTTCCCAACCTTGTTTCCTTGGAGCCCGCTAAGGCCCCCCAAGGACTCAAGGAAAAAAAAGTACACCATTACTGTCAACGATGACTTTTATAAAAACTATCCAGTAAGTTTTGTGATTTTAATTTATATGTGCAAATTTGACTTTTGACTTTTAATACAGAACCAAGTGTAAGCTTACAGCAAGACAAACTTAAAATTAGTTCCTCCTCGTGGGTCTATGACGACACAGGCAGGGGCGTGTCCAGACTGGGGTGTCCTCAAGTGTGATTCCAAAACTATCCAATGAATGTCTTCATTTTAATGTAATCCATCAGACCTGAACGGTGTGAAACGAACCGTTAGGATAAAAATAAGACATTTGATGTTATTAAAAACAAAACATAAAGAGCCACATTAGTATTTCTGGTTCCTTTATATCCGTAACAGAAAGACAAAATGTAGAAAAACACAACAGAGGGACGGATGAAAACATTTGTAACCGCTAACTCTTGGTTAGAGTATTCTACAGTTTCTACTGGTGTTTGTAAACTCACTCTTAATGAGTACTGATTCCGTCTCAGGTGACACCCAGGTAAATGTACTCTCTGGTCAGGATGAGTTTCAAGTGAAATGATACACCTGTATCACCTCTATTGTTGACGACATAATACTTAAACGACTGCCATGAAAGATGTAGACATGTCAGTCTGAGGCTCTGTTAAATATCCTAATGTCTTTATCAGATATTTTCTGAGGTTACGCTTCAGACAGTTATGAAATTGAGAAGGAAATTCCGATTGAAAGAAAATGAAGGAAACACACCGATGTTCACTTATGCAAATGTTGAAGTTTTGAGGTCAAGCATTGAATCCAAACATTGTTCACTTCATGAAGAATTGTCTTTGATGATTCTGCATCGGTTCCTCTCTTCACACTTTCTCACTTTGCACAAGTCTATGATTTTTTTTGTTACAACTTTAAGTAGGGACTAAAAAAGTTGCTTCCATAAAATTCAAAACAACAGAGAGTTCAGCTTATGATAAAGTCACGGTGCTGGCCCCTGATTGGTGTTTTTTTTTTATAAGGGGTCATGTTTTGGATTCTGAACTATATTGACTTCTGTTTAATATTCCCACAGGGCCGAGCTGCCCGGGCTGACAGCGTCCCCCTTCAGTGTGCCTCCCTGGTCCCCTCGCAGATATTTGCCATTCTTGCCCCGGATGGCGAGGCGGCGGTGCTCCAGCAGCTCCAGAGAGAAGTCCTCAGGGGCCTCACCGTCTGAACACACCAGCCCAGAACTATTCACATACCAGAACCGGCCATCCACACCTGCAGAGGTTTAAAGGGTAAATACAACAATTTAGGCTGAGTGGTTATCTTAACTAGAAATACCAGATATTTGTTATGCTGTCATTATTATTTCTGAAACATGGTTTTGGCTGCTAAGAGGCATCAAAAGGGGTAGAAGGGATTCAGTCAGTCTTGGTTGAGTGGTCACAGGCTGACCTTTAATGTGGTAGGCCCCGTTGCTGAACTGCAGGGTGAAAATGTCATAGACTGATCTGCTGGCATCCAGAGTGTTGGAGTTCTTGTGATGGCAAATGAAGCCGTTCTCTCCTCTCAGGATCAACATGGGTCTGTTGATCAGTTTCAGAGTGAGCTGTTCATCCTCACCTGATGAATGGTGACACATCATGAAGACAAACGAGAAGGGACACGGGGTGAGTTGGATTTGACTGAGGATGAACTTCAGAAAGAGAAAAGGAGAATAAATTCTATAAATGTCTCTTACCGATGGAGTCACTGACGGCGAGCAGCTGGCCGTTCTTCTTAGTGCAGATGTATTTTCCATTGTTAGCTTTTACAGCCACCTTGTGGCCAAGCCACTCCACTGCAAACATATTATTTGCTGACCTGCAGTTTGGCAACACAAAGGAAAGAAAAAAAACTCTTCTTGCCTTTACATGCTTTGAAATAGTGTGATAGTACATGTGCAAGACATGGAAGGTAAAAGGTGACTGCTCAGGGGGGCTGAAGGCTTTTTAAAATCAGATGTGTGATTCATTAAGGAGGCTGAGATACTCCAACCAGGGTTTTTTTCTTATTATTTTGCACTCTTATGCATGAAACTCCCCCTTTAGTTTTTATTTGCCGTCTTAAATCCCTTCTTTTACACATAACCTGACTAAATGGCACTGTGTTGCTATATTTAAAAAAATATAAATATCTTCCACTGAGCCAGGAAATGTGCTTCATTTTTTTTTATGAAGCATTGCACTCTAACTTTTAAACTAAAAATCTAAAGGGTATGAATTAGTGAAAGGTTGAATTTGAATAAAGCGGAACAATAATGTTGATGTGATGTGATGTAATGATAACAACATGTTATGACCCCTGTATAAAACAGCGTATGTGGAAATGATTAATTCAGACGCTGATGTATTAATAGTCATTCTTCATAAGTACTATGAGAACATTAACTCACATTTCAGTGGCAGAACTCTGTATGCCCCCGTGGGCCACTAAAGCCCAGTAGTTCCCCTGGCTGGTGCGGAACGTGCACTTCCTGGTTTCTTGATCAATCTCCATCTGAAACGTCTCCATGTCTGTCTCATCGTCCTGGTTTGCTGCAAGGCTCACTCCTGGGAAGGGCAAAGACAGTATGTCCTGTTAATGCTGATGACAAATTCCATTCATTTTTTTTTAATTAAAGTTTTATATGTTTTCATTGCAGTGGAGTATAAAACACCAAGTATGTTTGATGACTGCTGAACGCATCAAGTTAAGACTCAAACACAGATACACACAGGGTGAGATTATGGAATTGAGTAGTGAATTTATGCTAGCATCAAAATGTTTGCTCACAAAATACAACTGAGCTCATGAGAAAGATGTAACTCAAGTGATGAAACCACTTGAAATAAACAAAATACTCAACAGAACCTCCTTTTCTTCTCTCAAACTGACATAATGGTTGGGAAAGTGAGCATTTTACTAATCTTGATGCGTTGTTGTGTTTGGCTTGGCCCAGTATGAAAGAGTTCATGATCACGCCTGATTCGGGCATGTTACATTATTTCAAGAAGATTCAGACTTAAACTGTTATGTCATCATGACTCACGACAAGCTGAAACTCTCCTGAGGGGAAACACATTTCCTCTGATATTGATTCTGTATGCAATAGTTCAGAGAACTAAATATAATTATAAAAGAACTTTGATACAGATACAGGCTGAAGCTAAACAACGTCTCTTATAATGAAGCTTTTACATTGAGACAGCCAAACAAAAATATCCCCTTTGATTGACAGGCACTTATGAAAGCACTTTAAAACCAAGTTTAAAAAACTATGAAAAGTATACTAATAGTATACAGTGTCTGTGTCAAACACATAATAAACCTTGACCCTCACTCCTTTAATAAAATGATGTTAGCATTCTGCTTCTGTAAGTCTCAACATAAACTTAAATGTTGACACTGACAAAAGCAATCGTTGGTATCACCAGTAGACAGATTGCAGAGAGCTTAATCCCACATTACATCCATCTCAGAATATGCCGGATACATTTTCCTAATCCTTTAATAACCCAAACCTGTGCACCTCACCCCCTCCTTTTTTTTTTTGTTAGTTCCCCCCCGACCTCCCTCCATCCCTCCCCTGTCCCTTCCTTTCGGCCCTCCTCACAGTGGGGGTTCTGATATAATCAGCTTTCAAGTGCTGCCCGTCCGATCCCCTCAATAAAAGAATAAAGGACAAACAGGAAGAGAGCCGAGGATTTAATGGTACACTCTTAGCAGGATGTTCAGATTATTACCAACCACACTGAACTGTCAAGTTGATGAAGCTATTAATGATGGAACATATGGAGAACATGCTAAAAATGTAAATGTAAATTAATTAAGTAGCAAAATAGTTTAAACATCTGAAATGACCCAAAGTATATACACGAGTACACTTATAAGACCAAAATGTTTTTGACAACTGTTCTTTTAAGAAGCATTCCAATTCATGTTTGATTATCATTTATTGTGATGATGCTTTGCATTTTACATTTCCGTTGGTAAAAGTGAAATAAAACCACATTAAGTCAGGTTTCTTCACTAGCCCTCTGCTCAGGTACCTTGAACACTGGAACCCTAACCCACCAACAATTTCAATCCAGCGTGTTACAAGAATTCTTTTGCACATTTTGCTTTAATTCAATATCAAACCGTGGAGAGTGAAAGAGGGTGATACGGGACAGAGATGTCATGGTTCCTGAGCTGCCGCGGCACTTTAATCACATCTTATTCACTCCTGATAAACTAGCTACCATGAGGTCTTACTACTGGTTAAATCATCATTGATCTCGAGTGTATTTCAAGCATACATTTCTGACCCTCTACTCTGCAACTCCGCCTGGGGGCCCATCACTCTCATTCCCTCTCATTCCGACTCAATGTCATGCTTTGTCTACCTATTCCATGTGTCCATTTCACACTAATTCAACCCAGAAATGATCCAGTGACAGGGCTCAGCTGGGACCTCACAGCCACCATCTGATGAGATGAGAGGAGGCAGAGGAAAGAGAGGGAAGGATGAATAGAAGGAAACAGAGAGGAGGGAGGAGGAGGAGAGAGAGAGAGAGAGAGAGAGAGAGAGAATATATTTACTGAAAACCAAACCAGCAATGTGAGGATATCAGTAGCTACATTGATGATCATCCCTGACACAGCAGTTGATCAAGCATACAAAATAAGATGATGTCATCTGCATGAAGACACACACTGAAACACACACACACATTGTGCGTAGTGTTATCAGCATCCAGTTTGGATCAGACCCTAGATCTAGCTCCACTTTCTGTTGTCCTACCTGCAGCCTGCAAGTAGAGCAGGCCTGACTAATCCATCAGCGATAGATGGCTCTGACATCTATTATTAATGGTAAGCTGATGCCCCAATCCCCCTGTTCCTTATTTTCCTCTTTCCTACTCTTCATCCTTCAACACTGCTTTTTTTGTAGCGGTGCAATCTTTTTTTTTTTTTTTTTTTTGTTCCTCAGCTTTGGCCGTGTTTTTAAATGCATGCAATATGTGTGTAAGTGTGTAAGTGTGTATTTGTGTGCACAGGTTTACATACTGTATGTTAATGGAAGGTGTGTGTCTTTTAGACAATCGTCACTTTTTCACTCTCTTGGGCATCAGCTTACCACTCACACACACACACACACACACACACACACACACACACACACACACACACACACACACACACACACACACACACTGCTTTCAATAAAGACCAACTAAGAACAGTTGGAGGAAACTGAATCGGATTTCTGTCCACAAAAGCTCTCTCAAAAAAACTGTTTTTATCCACATTCAGGTTTTAGCTTGTACAACAGCCACCCCTCTTTTATAACCTATTTACAGCGTTCGGACTCATTTTCAAAATATATGTATGCAGACAAATGTGCTAATTTATATAAAAAGACAGGTGATATTATGAAGACGATGAAGAGCCACACACTTGTAATGTCCTAAAGCCCTCAGCTGTATATCCTCCCCTTCTCTGCTGTCTGTTTCCCATTCTTCTTTAATTATCATGAATCATCATGTCGCACCCAGAGACTAGCTCTAAAGACTTTTGAGATAAAAGTATGTAAAGATGTACATTTTTTTCCTTTAACAAGTCTTTAAGTTCATGAGTCAGATTTTCCTCTTGTATAGATTTTAATGTTTGTTGCCAACTGCCATCCATTCTTTCTTTACTCACCGTTTTGTCCAGGTATTCTCATTGCCTGCACTTAAATCAATAAATTGCCAGATAATTTGGAAATTAAAGACAACATTTTGCATGACCAATTAGAAGCTTGTTTTGAAGAAAATTGCTCATTGCTAAGCTGGCAAAAATTTGTGACGAATTGGTTTGAGTTATTCCAAACTGAAATGCCATAGCAGCCCAAAAAAAAGTCAAGTTAAAAAATATCAATTTGCACCATAATCTGATCATTCTGCAGTGACGTGTGCAGCTACAAACATCAGCACTGACTGATTTTTGGGGTTAGCAAGTTAGATTAACGAGTCAGAGCGAGAGGGGCAGAAGCTTTGGCCCCAGGTGAGATCCAGCTTGGGTTTCTGAAAGCAGACTCCCCCCCTTCGCCTTCCAGGAACAGGGGCCAACTTCATCAATAATTCAAAACACCAGCACCACTTGCCACAGCAGGATGGTGTGGTTTTGTGTGTGGGCGAATGTATCGGAGACAGATAAAGCTCTTTGTGCAGAAAGTGTTAGCGGAAGGAAGAAGAGGAACAGATACAGAAAAAGGTGAGCATCTTAGAGTTGTTCCATCTTTGCGGCAGAATATGAAGCTTCATCTTTTTTTTCCCTTTCAACCAATTGGTTTATGGAGGTTGATTAGTTTCTGCCCAAAGCTCCCACTGCTAACCAGGAACAATGAGCAAGGAGGGGTTCAGTTACAGCACCCAAGGCTGGAGTAACTGAACCCTGCAGACAAGAATCTGCAGCCTGTGGATGGATGTCATGGCCAAGTATGCTGACAAGCACCGTTGGTGTTATGCTTATATCCCAAATCCAGTTTCAAATCAGACCAGCAAACCTTCAGCAACCCAACACTCAGCAAGTCCTTTGACTTGTAGAGCACTTTTAGTAAGATGAAACATGATCATCACAACTAGATTTCTATTTGAGTACTAATCAGAGGAATCTTACATTTTCTTTTTGGGAGAAGAACCAAAATGGATCCACCAACATAGTAGTCTGGTTTTATATATTCAGCTTCCATGTCAAAAGGCTTGAGAGTAAATACACAAAAACAGCAACAACAAAGCATAACTGTAACCACTTATAGCTTTCAAACAGCTGTTTAAGTTTGTACAATGGTAAAAATGTGTTTGCACCACCAGCAACAATCCCGATCCCCCCCAGGGGGAACGTTTGGATTGATCTTAGGTCTTACTTTTGCTACATTTCAACATAGGATGTTCACCTTTTCAGGAACACAATGACTTCTGTGGCATCATGCATTTTAAGCACAAGTCTACAACTCGTACACAATCTGTTGTTTGACCCACAGATTGTTTGATAAAGGGGGGACCAAAGGGGGACTTGGACAAAGGGAAGGGGGGGGGGGGGGGATCAATGCTGGTCTAAAACAAATGACGTATTCATCTCAGTTCTCCCAGAGGAGGCTGATAATAGTCTCCCGTATCAGCCTCATCCATCTCGTTTTCCTGGAAAGATTCTAGTATTCCATATGATATCGATGCATGTTAATGAGCAGACTACATTACCCATAATTACCATGCGTCCCTTATCAGTTGTCAATCACTAGAGAGTGGCCTGTTACCTTAACCTTGCATTCTCAGCATATCCAAGAGTTAGTGTACTTCCTGTGAATTGATGGCTCAGTTTCCCGGGGGTGTAACAGTGCACAGTGTGTACTGTATATGGGTTAGTAGTAGTAACTGTAGTAGTGGTAGTGTTTGTTGCTACTCTGCTTCATTATGTCAGAGTGTTTCAGCTAATGGCTCATGTGACCACCCTGAGTGGCACGTAAGGTCAGCCTTTCTTCATTTAATCAGACATTAGAACCACAGATAAACTTCAGCTCATTCAAAACTCTGAATAGATTTGAAAGTCCTCCTCCTTGTATACAAAGCCCTCAAGGACACTCCTTCATCGTCCTCTACTGGCCGACTGAAGGTTCCCAGCAGCAGCCAAGAGAGATGCAGCTTTTGCTAATTACGCACCAAATATATGTTACCATTAGATATCAGGGAGGCTGGCTCACTAAATATTTTTTTTAAGTAAGCGTGAAACGTTCTTCTTCACCGTAACATTTTGAACAGGCATCTATATGGTTATGTTTCACTGCTATTTTATACTATTTTATGCCTTTTTAATGCAAATTTAGATTAGTCTGAGTTATTTTCAGAGGATTTACTTGATTCCTATTATATTTAAGTGTGAAAAATCACATATAAAGCTTATTACGCCATTTTTTCAATTAATTTCATTTCGTGTTATTTTATTATGTGATTATCTTTTTATGTCTTGTTCTGCTGTAAAGCACTTTGAGCTGCAATACTTGTATGAAAGGTGCTATACAAATACAGTTTATTATTATTATTATTATTAGGGATTCTATGGACTTTTGAGAACCATGACATTTTCAAGAGTTAACATATGCATGCATAGCTGCAGATTTGTGACAGTATGGATGTTTTGCCTACCTTGTCTTATCGAGACATATCGTCCATTGGCCGCCATCAAAACCACCTGTGGATGGCTCTCCTCTAAGTCAAACAGTTCATCTTTGCTCGGCTTGGAGCAGCGTCCAGACCTCAGGGTGCCAGTTGGGCCCATGGGGGACAAATACTTCCCCTCGCAGTCTTTGAAGGCGAGCTTCCCACACTTCAGTTCCAGCGTGTACGCCGTGGCCCTCCCACTCTGCGTCAAGAGCTTCCCATCGTTACCGAGGAAGCGGCTGTCGCAGGTCTTCAAGCCATACTTCCCGTCCAGGTACACGAGAGTCAGGAGCGCCGCCACACCCCAGGGAATGTTTACATCCACAGCAACCTCCCCGTCCTCCAAGGAAAGGTGGGCGTAGCGCCGGCGAGCCACCGACAACAGGTTGGCCTGGGGATGTAACGCCAGGTGTACCGCCCAGAGCTCTGCATTCGTTATCACCTGGGCGAAACAGGACAGGTAGTCCCTAGAGCCCCCAAAGAAGCGCAGATGCTGCTCAGACTGCAGGGCCCAGCGACCGTCCGATTGCGCCACGATGAGGAAGCGACAGTCAGAGTTGTGCCCGTCCGCTTCACAGGTAACTTTGCCGTCCTTGTCGGAGGCCAAGTAGCGTCCCAGGTGGCTCCGCAAGTAGACCACCTGTGTGTCCTGAGAGTCCTGCTCTAGAGTCCATATTTGCTTCTTCTTCAGACTGGCGGCTGATGCATTCACCTGAAAGAAAAGAAAAGGCAATGTTGCAACCAACACCATGGAGGCTTAGATGTTTGGTCTATGTACAACATCCCAAGCTGTTTCAGGTCTATTGGAACTCTACAGGAGTAAAACACTGTGGCGCTCTACACCTGGTATTTACATCTTTCATGAGGGATCACATCACAAATGGATCATCCATAAGTAATAATCCATTGTGTACAGTTTTAAAAGAAGTCTTAAAGAACATTATCTACGGAGAAACTTTAGTCAGTACAGATAGGACTACTGGGTCATGTTATGTCTTAGATGCTGTAAATCAGACGGAGCCTTTGTGTTTGTCTGTTTCTTTTGTTCATTTATGTCAATTGTCTATTATTTTGAGTTATTGAAGAAATGTTGTGGAATGTTTGTGTAGTGTGAAAAGAATAATGTATAATATGAATTTGTTAAATGTATTGTCACAATATAAACTGTGGGCCCCAGGAAGAATAGCTTCTCGCTATGCTGAAGCTAATGGGGATCCAAATAAAACAAACAAACAAACAATAAGCGGACGAACGTACCCAGGATGCATTGAGATCCCATCACTCAGTCAATGTTTTTTTATAGCTCATGAAGGTAACTGAGGCTACATGAGAACAATCTTAAGATCTGATCATAAGCGGTCACTCAAGATGCATTAGGTGACGCATGCTAGTGACAGTTGTGAACAACCATATCTAGAGTTGCTCAGTCACTCAGGAGGATGCATGCTAATAACAGATGTAAACACGGTCTGTGAATCCAACAATCACACGCTCTGCACAGCTCTGGATGCTTTACCTTAAAGCTGAAGTTCTCAGCAGTCAGGTAGCGTCCCTCGTGGTTGATGAGACCAAACTGTAACTTCAAGGGACGGTTCCCGTTAGCCGGCAT